TCAAGTCCACGCCTCTGGGAAGTAGTAACAGAGGAGAGATGGTGTGAGGTTGCTGAAGTGAGTAAGAAATGAAAAGACAAAAAGAAGAGTTGGTGAAAGAGAGGCTATGGAGAGGTCAGTGGTATGAAAAGGGGAGAAAAGAAAGATAGAATGAGGTAAAGAAGTCTGGGAGACATAGCAGGAGGAAAGAGTGAGGAGCGAGGGCAGCTCCGATGCAGTGCCCCTGGTCAAGACACATATCTATCTGTCTAACTTTTATCAGTTAAATGGATACAGCCCTGAGAGCCCCATAGGCGGAACGTGAGACTTCTATCGGCTGACGTCTCTTTTTCCCTCAAGCGTTGTCAAAGGCAACAAGGGCTCCCTTTAATGTGTTATATCTGCCTGTCATGTCAGCTGCCTGTGTCTCTGTCTTTCTCCGCAGCTTTTTCTTTCTTACCTTTTCACTCTTTCACCTTTTGCACCGTGATCTATAACTCCCATTTTCTTTTTTCTTTTTTTTTCTCTTAACCCAGATCTTTTTTTCCTTTCCACTAATACTCCCCCCTCCCCTCCCTTCCCCTGTAGCATGGTAATGTTCTCAGAAATTACAGTGAGGTAAACAGAGCAGGGTTTCGAAATGAAATAACAGCTACAGGGCTGTCAGCTCGAGCGAGTGGGCCATCCGTCAGCGGGAAATGACACGTCGGCCGCCTCCCCCCTTCCTGTCACACCCACACACAGTTGGATTCCCCCTGTCCTCCTGGTGGCAAGGTGAAGGAATCATGCTCATCAAAGGCTCAGCGCAGCCTGGAGCCTTTCCATTAGCCTTCTACAACACTGGTCAATGGCGAGGGGACGGACACAAAATGCCATCACACACACAAGAATCGTACACACAAAGCGAAAGAAAAAAAAAAAAAAAAAGACAGCATTACACTATATAGATTTGATGGAAGAGACGCATAATTACCCTGAGATAGGATATATACACAGGTACACACACACGCACACACACCTCAATTACCGTTTCATTCATAGCCTGACAGCAGAGCGTGTGTGAAGGCTGACATTAAAGGAAATTAAATCTCCTCGTGGAATGGGGCAGCCCGTCTCACCTCCCGTCAAAATGCTCCCATTTCCACTCCTCCCTGTAACCTTCTCATCTGGGTATTTAGGGCTTTGTGGTGCGGAACGTCATCAAAGAGGAAACTTAGCGAGGCGGCCGTGCGTAAATGAGGCCTCCCCGCGATAATCCCCCCAGCAAACGGAGCCCTCTGCTATTAGCCCACGCACACAAATTACTGCTCCACGTTCTGTCGCGCTCTTTCATCGCGTGTACTGTCGCATGCTTATAGGAGAGAGTGCTTTCATTCAAAAGTGTACACACATCTAAACTCTCATATCATTGGCTTAGCCCGGCGACTGAGTCAGTCAGTTAACTCTTTGATCCGGACCTCCTGTCTGCATTGGAATAAGAAGCCTATTTGACATAATCCTGAAAAACATCGCCTCACATAACCAATAAAACTCAAAGGAGAGCACAGCTGCACGGCTACACACACCAAAGGGACTTAGCAGGAAAGTGACACATGTACAGTAGATTTTTTATGGGCAGATTTAATTAAGCCTCATTCACTGCCAAATCCTGTGTTATACAAACTCTTGTGAGATCTTTGTGAAGCGCATAAATGTGACAAACCTGCAGGAAAAGGAGGAGTTTAGTTTGCCCAGAAGTTAGGTAATTGAGTTCCTGGTTAAAGGAGAAAGAGCTGTGGTTTCCGTGCTTTCACATCGGGCACGGGCTTTCTCCCAAAGGCTTTAATCAGATCAAACATGTCCTGTCAGATAAGACGGCTAATTAATCAGGGGAGGGACCAGTCTTCTCCTCTGACAGATGGAGAGATGGAGGCAGGACGGTGGTGGAGGCACTTCCTCTCCTCCTCCTTAACCTCTTCCTCCGACCGTCAACAGAAAGCAAAACAAGAACAGAGTGAGACAGCGTTGCCTGTGGCGAAGCACAGAGAGTCTGTAAAGATTCTCAAAGACGCTGTTTACATGCAGGCTGCAACTGAAGTATCTCCACAACCCCCGACTGAGAAGAAGACAGGCTTCTGTACTGAAGTTGCTGTTTACAGTATACTGCATATGCATGTGGAGAAGATCACTGAAAATCCACATTTCTTGTTTTTTGTGCCATTTATTTGAATAAAAAATCAGCTAAATACAAAGTAAAGTGCTAACAGAGTACAAATCTCCTTTTGGATTAGGAATGAAAACTGTAGTATACAAAATTTTAGTTACGTACATATTGTCCTAAAGGGAAACTTCTGTATTTTTCAACCTGGACCCTATTTTCAAATGTTTTGTGTCTAAGTGACTAATGGGGACAACAATTCTTGAAATTGGTCCAGTATCAAGAGAGAGCTGCATATAACCACTCTGGGCCTCTTTGCCTCCAAATTCCCCAAATCCCAGTCTGATCAAACATCTGTGGGGTTTGCTGGTACCCCAAAGATCTGAAGCCAACAAGTTGGTGCCAGACACCAAAGAACACCCTCCAGAGGTCCTGTGTCCATGCCTTGACAGGTCAGAGCCAAGTCCAGTCCAAGGAGCACCCACCGTGGATTGGGGGTACAGCAGTTTTCAGTTGAGATGCTTTGGTTGTGTCTGGTTAGTATGATATAGACTATCCACGCAAGTAAAACTGTCAGCGCAAGGTGTAGTACCTACTTGCTCTAGCAAGGGTGGAATCAGTATAAAATTGTCCTCTGTTGTTGTTGTTGAGCGATGTGACGGTTGGTCTTTGTGGTAGGCTAGTTGTCCCTCCCCTCCTCCACTGTGATTAGCCGCTGGGTAAATAGTGACAGTGACAAGTAGCTGCAGGGTTTTACCCAAAGTTGAATGTTCTTCAATTCTCGGCAACCAGCAAAAAACGGCAAATGTCCAGCTCTCAGTGCAGAACAGATGCCCAACGCCTTGTCACACTGCTGGCATTTGTAGCCTAGTGTGAATACGCAGCGCTCCCATGCAAAAAAATTGTTTAAAAAAACAATGGGACCAAAGCGGTTGTGGCGGTTGCCTGCCATCCCCCGCAGTTGGCATCTCAACAGCGTGGTATTGCAATATTGCAATTATCACAACAGCCACTTATAGTAACAATCTGAGCCTGTCAGTGGCAAAAACGAGCACTTTTAGTGGACGTACATGATGATGCATTACTTTTGCTAGTGGTTACAGTAGTAGTGCTCTTGCTCAGTCATGGACCAATTTTAAAAATTGTTGTTTCTATTAGTCACTTAGACACACAACCATGAGAACGTAGGGTCCAGGTTGAGAATAACTAAGTTTCTCTTTAATTTACTTTCGGCAAAGTCAGTTACAGCCCCTCCTTGTCCTTGCTTCTCTTCTTCTCTTGTCTTGTTGCCAGTTATTAAGATTTATGAGACTAGACTTGGCCGATCCAACTTAGCCACTGCTGAACTAATGAAATTTTTTTTTTTTCTTTCACGTTAATACCATTCCATAACTTTTTAAAGATGTATGTCTTGCTAAATTGCCATTGTTATTCAAGATAGATTCAGTAGCCTTCCTTATTATCACATAATAGAGCCCAACCATCACACAGATTACTGCCTTTCTAAATGGCGATGCTCCTTTGGAAAGCCCTCCACTGCTCACAATATTGATCTAAACTGGATTAATATGTAACCCTCTGATAAGAGAGGCTGTTATTACGGGTGAGAGGATATTTTACTTGTGATTCATTTCGTTAAATACAGAATTTTTAAGTGCAGTTCACAAGGGCAGCCTCAAAACATCCTTTCAGAATTATCCAAAAGTTCCACATCTATTAATTTTCTCTCAGCTGAATGGATTCAGTTGATGGACCCAAATTTGAGAGAGATGGTACAAGATTAACCCTCTACCCTCTGATACTCGTGATCTGAAGTGGATGTAAATCTTATCGTAATGTTGCAGTACTCACTAGTCACATCACTCTGGCCACTAACCACAGCATAGATAGCTTTTTGTAATATTGCTCTTGCCCTTGTGGTCCTGGCTGCTGTTGGAGGGAAGGTTTGGAGGTGTTGATGTCTGATAAAGACGAGATGTGATGAATGAGAGCTCTGCCTGATTGGATAGTTTACTTATTACTGGGGTGGTAGGATGGATTGATTGCAATTTGATATGTGAGAGAAGAATATGCTGACGTGCAAACAGCACCATAAAGATACATAATTAGAGATAAGGATGATATAATGTAGTTTCATGCTTAATTTAGAGACTGACTGACTTGTAGCATAGATGGATGGATGGATAGCTGGTTGGCTTACATGGTGGCTGCCTGGCTCAGTGACTGATTGACTGGTGGGGCTGGGGCTGCTGTTTCCAGCTGTTGTGCTGTAGAGCTCAACAGGCCTGCTGCTACCTCAGGCTCAACCCACCACCAGCTGTGTAGCTTCACCTAGCTAGCAGCAGCCTCTGGGCACAACAGAGAAAAATGCTGTTGTACAATACACACTACACAGCCTCTCTTTGTTTCTATCTCTCTTTCTCTTCATTTTTAAATTGAACACTTAAGATTGGTTTAAAACGAAACACACCCAGAAGACGCCAAACAAAGTATTGTAAATATGCACGGCATGCAAGATGTTGATACAGACTTGCACCGTCAGAATGCTTTTCACTCATGCAAATCCATAATGCAGCCCACACACTATGTGTGTCACGCACAGAGCTGGAGGCACCGTGCACTACTGGTGCATCCATATGACATGTGAGCAGATCAATGTGGGAGTGTCACTAAGGTCAAACGTCATGTTAGTTCAGCCAGATTTTGATTCCACTGTTGGCAGCATTGTGATGTGTAACGTGACGGCCCACAACACAAAGCTGATGCGTATTTCACAGTTCAGACAATTGTTGGTGATACATTATTTCTCATCTTTTCCTCTCCCCTTCTCCTCCTCCCTCCTCTCTCAATCCTCCCCCTACTCTTCAAACCCCTGGCCTTGCAGCAACAGGAGCAGGACCCCACCAACCTGTACATCTCCAACCTGCCAGTGTCTATGGATGAGCAGGAGCTGGAGAACATGCTGAAGCCCCTGGGTCACGTCATCTCCACGAGGATACTGAGGGATGCCAACGGGGTCAGCAGAGGAGTCGGCTTCGCCAGGTACACAATACTAATGCTGCTCTTAAAGGGATGGGAGTTTGTGAGATTTTATTGATACTTGATTATTGGTCTGACTCTTTATTGATCCACTTATTTATTCGTAATCAATTTTCTGTGCGGAAAAAGGAAGGCCTACACAGATTATCAGCATCAATGCAACTGTTTTTATTATCTTTGAGTCTAGTTTAGATGTAAGAGATTTTCCTATCGACTAACTTCCCTAATGTTTAAACAGGGTATCGTTGATGGTCAGAGCAGCTGCAAGTTTAACCGACTAGTAATTCTGGTGCCGACCAGTGAGGGTAACAACATTTAATCGCCTAGTTGGCTAATTGTGCACGTCCCTCGTACATGTAGGTGAATATTTGTTCAACATTTGCTTTCATTTAGGTTTCCATCAAAGGAAAAAATCAGTTAAGCCTGCCTGCACGGTGCTAATGATATTATGCCACAGAATATTTACCCTCAGTAACGGACGTGCTGCTCGGTCAGGAGGCAGTGGCATTCGTGCGTAGAGTGTCAAATACATGGCAGTCCTGGAATTTAAGCCTATGTTGTGAAGACAGATGTGTCAGCACATTGCTGGTGTTTCCACCCTTACCTGGAATTGTCATTTTACAGACATTACAAGCAGTGTTCCTTGTGAAATGGAGCCATGCTTTGGACCATTTCTTTCTCTCTGCCATGACTTATTCTTATTGTAAGTTTCAAGCAGCATAAAGGCATGAGGTTGATGCCATTTTTTTTTTGTAATGTGTGTCGGAAAAAAATGCTGGCATCTATAAAGGATTAGCTCAGAGGCATACGATTCACATGGATCAGACAATTTGGAACCAGTTCTCAACTGGAGCTAATTCTCGATTCCTATCCCTAAGCTACTATGGAAACGATAAGTGATTTTTAATTAATGGATTACAGTACACGTGCCCTCACACTACACTGTGGTCCAACTTTAATTCCATACTTACTTGTACATATTTATGTGATTAAGTCTCGTGTCCCTGCCCTTCCCATGCTCAATGGATGCTGCAATTTGCAAATGGATGTCTGTGTGCAAATGCATAGACCAAAATGCACACAAATGGACCCAAATACATGCACTGGCATACTGGCACACACTTGTACGTACTATGTGCATGCACACGTTCACTCTAAAGAGACACTTGTCCAATGAATCCTGCCTCCAGGCAGTGGAAACTTTAAAAGGTGATTTGTTTGCCAGGCTTGTTTGACAGAGCGTCTGCCAGTCGATGAGTTCATCTTTGTTCATGCCTGTGCATCAGATTGTGTGTGTCTCTGTGTATGTGCCTAGTAATGGATGCCTGTATATTCTCACACATTCACGGATACCTTTAATTACCCCCCCTCGTCCTAACAGTATAGCCGGTGCTGCTACATTTCCACCACCAATCCCAACACTGAACAGTTTACTTCTTTTTCTACTTAGAAAAGTTTCCATTTCAGCTTGTTAATCCCCCAAAGTCATAAACCACTCTGTCCTTGTCCTCGGCAGCAGCCACCAGGCTCTCATTCCCCTCCACACATTCCTCCCTTGTTTACCCAGAGGAGGCCACTGACGGCCACAGAGCCGCCATCTTGCAGGGATTTTTCTTAATCACCTGCTCTGGCTGAACTCCTCTCCTATTCCCTTCTCTATTACCGAGAGTTACAGCAGGAGACAGGCACAAACACACACAAACAGGTACTTATGCACAAACTTGAGCATATGCACAGACAGCCCCCGCACATGTGCATAAGAGCATGCACGAGCGCCAGCACACACATTAGTGAGCAGACTCTCACACGTACACACACAGACAGGTAGGCAGCTTCCTGCAGACCAACAAGCAGAGCACAGCAACAACCTGCCACAGGCCACCTGTTCCAGCAGCCCTCAGTGGGAGGACGAAGAGACATGATGGAAAAGGGAGAGAGAGAGAGGGGGGACGGGAGTGTGAAACAATGGCCGGGTAAAAAGAACTAATCATAGAGGTTATTATAAAGAGAAAGCGAAGGTGATGGGAAGGAGAAGGCAGTGTGGACAGGGAAAGATTGAGGAATAGAAAGTGAAACGAGTGAGTGTGGGTGTCTGGGAGAAAATGTGAGACATAAATGAGCGGTGTTTGGTTAGATAAGGAGCAAAAAAGAAAAAAAAAATGAGAAGGTTTTTTGTGTAATTGATAAGTACAGGTCAGAAAAAGAAGCGAGGGAAAAAAGAAATCAATGTATTTTATGAATTGTAGAGCTCCCGTTAGCTGTGTCAACAGACAGACAGACAGACAGCTGCTGAGGGTTGGGCCATGAGGGGCATTAGAGAGAGTAAACTGAGCTAAGTGTTTGTGGGCCGATCCATTACTGTTATCAGAGCCCATTACTCCAGCCCCAGCACTAATCATTGCAGACAGCAGCACCTGATGCCATTAACCAGCAGCACACAGAGAAAAGCCAGCCTGCCTCACCGCCTACCTGGCTGCCTCTCTCTCTGAATGGCTACCCCAAAAGCTTTTCTGACCAACAGACAGTCTGGCTGACCGCTTTGTTTCCATATGACTGCCTAACAGCCCGTCTGCCTTATTTACTCCTCGTCTACCCACCTGTTTTCTGTCTACCTGCCTGCTTGAAAGAGCGAAGGAGAGACAGCGTTGAGGAGGAGGCAAACAATGAATAGCCAGAGGGGGTGTGAGGAGGATGGAGAAAGAGCACAGGGGAATAGCGAGGGAGGCTGAGCATCAACACTTCCAGTCAGAGAATCACTTGAAACTCCGGAGATGTGTGATGCATCCAGCCTGATTTCCAGCCCCGCTTTTAAGATGGAAAGCAAAAACACCACAACAAATAATGTCAAAACAGCCTTTGTTTTGACGATGCAGTACACAACCACATAAACCACATTATTTAACAAGCACTACGTTGTTAGGTTCCAGTGAAAGGGAGCAATAAAGTGATAAAGAGGTTAGCTGTGCCTCATGCAGATCCCCTCTGTGTCAACTCCTGAAGTGAAAGCATTATGGAAGGGTTATTGGCATGTTTGTATAACTGTGTTGTGTGTGTGAACATGGATTAGAAACATATTATGAATGCGCTCATACATGCATACAGATTACATGTAAACATAAACACACTGTGCATTAATTTATTTTCAGCAAAGCTTTATGGAATGATGCTTTCATCAAAGGATGCTACCAAAGCATATACAGAGATATACGGCCCCACCCCCCAAGGTGAGATAAGTAGTTGGTTCCATAGCCTAGGTCTATTATGAGGAGCCTGGCCCGTCCGAGCCCGAGGATAGCGGTGGACACTTTGTTTACGGAAATTACAGCCGGGTCGGGCCGTAATTTCCGTAAACAAAGTGAGAAATTGAAATTTTGGGAATTGTCTCAGCTGTCTTTTTATAAAAAAAATATTTGGGCTATCTGTAAAGGCATTGACATCCATCTTCTCTTTCTTTGTTTCAAACTGTATCCAAAATACTTTTATATATGACGTAGAGCTGGATATCATCAAACCTAAATACTTTTTTGTGCTGTGTATTGAATACTTCTGCATATTTTTAATCTCTTTCCTTAATCTTCAATCAAACTGTCACTTATTTAAATGGGATATTTAACATTTTAAAAGTCTGGTTTCTTTTGTTTAAAGAAAAATATCACACATTAAATAAAAATTTTAAATGTTCAAACTACACCCAACTCTTATATACTCTTTAAATCAGCTGAGCAGTGTTATACAGATCTAGTTTTCAGTTGCTGAGTGCTAGTGATGTGTTAAAGGCCAGTTGTCACGATTAGTGATCAGATGAGTCACACTGGCTGGTTTGGCAGTGTCTTCCCAAACGCAACAGGGAACAGAAGGAAAAGAAAGAGAGATGGGGGGGAAAGGATGGATACAGGGTCAGTGAGAGATGGATGATGCCAGGAAGTGTGAAAGATTACATATTCTAAAAAGAGAAGTAGGGAGAGGAAAAGAGAGAGGGATGTGGACGGGACGTCACAGAGAAACAAACGGATAGACGGAGAGGAAAGAAAAGGAGGGCACGGAGAGTGAGAGGGATGACGAGGGAGAGAGGGAGGGTAACGGTGAAAGATGGAGGAAAAAACCAAGGTTGAAAGACGGGGAGGAATGAGAGAGACGTCAAAAAGAAGAGGTGCAGACGGGTCGGGAGTAAGATGGATGGGATGGAGGGAGCGATAAAGAAGCTATGGTAAAAAAAAAAAAAGAAGAAGGATGGAGGTAGAGATGGGAGAGGGATGAGAGACAGAGGATGGAGAAGTGAGAGGCTGACAGAATGATATGAGTATTCTTGGAGGTGAGAGCGAATAAAGCATGAAAATCTGGAAAGCAATGAATTCTGCACATTCCAAGAGCATATTACCATAAGCATAGGCACAGCAATCACTCAAGCCCGCATTTAAAAACGCTCTCATTTTAATATGAGTCCTTTGTGAGTATATATTAAAGAATTTGCATGGTAACATATGTACACTGGTGCAAATTCATGCATGAGGCTGTGTGTTTTGATGTTACTCTAACAAAATTTTACACACATTCATATTCCACCACGGATGAATTCTAATGATTTTGGCAGTCCCTTCACTTTGCCTCTAGTGCCACCGTGATGTTTACAGTCCTAGTTTTCAGTCACATGTGAAATTTTTTGTAAACAAAAATTGGATGGATTGCCATTAAATTTGGTACAAACATTCATGCTCCCTACAGGATGGATTATAATGACTTTGGCATCTTCTGCCTTTCCATGTAGCACCATCATCAGGTCAAAATTTCCAGCTAAACTAATGTTTCAAATCTAATAACATGCATACCAGCCTCAGCTTTAATTTGTGTTTAGTGCTAATTAGCATGCTAACATAGTAAACGAAGATGGTAAACATGGAGCTGCACAATTAATAATATTGACCTCGATCTTGGCCTCCCACAATCACAATTGAATAGAACGTGATTGACTGTGGTACCAATGTTTAAAATGCTACGCTCATAAAAAAAACTATGGTTTATATGATATCAAGCTCTTCCTGAAATAACTACCATTTCTTGAATGTTGTGGCTGCAGTCCAGAGTAGAATAGTAACCTATACAATAGAGAACAGACGGACAAAACAGAAATCAAACGCATGGAAAGCAAAGAGCTAGTCCCTTGAAACCGATCATGATCAGCCGTTTGGAAGTCATTTAGGGCAGGTGATAAAGCAGGTGATTAAGAAAAGAAACAAATCATATGCAAAGAGTGCACTAGACTTGTGTCTGCGCTGCAAAGCAACACAACTCACCTGTTCAACCACCTGAAAAGCACCATAAGCTCATTCATTCATCCATTTTCTGTAACCACTTATCCTGTTGGGGGCGGCAGGGGGGCTGGAGCCTATCCCAGCTGACACTGAGTGAGAGGCAGGGTACACCCTGGACGGGTTGCCAGACTATCACAGGGCTGACACACAGAGACAGACAACCATTCACACCCATGGGCAAATTTAGAGTCACCAATTAACTGTGGGAGAAAGCTGGAGTACCCGGAGAGAACCCACGCTGACACAGGGAGAACATGCAGACTCCACACAGAAGGGCTCCCCCACCCTGGGTTCGAACCAGGAACCCTCTTGCTGTGAGGCAACAATGCTAACCACTGCACCACCGCGCTGCACACCACAAACTGGAATATGATAAATGCATGAAGGCCAAAAAGAATAACATCACTAATGTTACCTCACTGAATCCCCGTCCTTGTCCAGTGTCAACTCAGACATCCATAACAGCGACGCTGTACAATGGATCATTATATCCATCCAGCAGCAAAAGACAGACTGAAATAAAAAATGCAATCACATTCCATTTGGCCACAGATGCATGTCCATTAAACACTTTGAGAGATATATATTTTGCATCAAGGAGATGCACTGAATTTAGGTGAGGAAGATCCTGATGTTAAGTTGTACATTGGCAGGAATGTAGCACAACAAGAAGGTGAAAGCAATGCCCTGATGATTTAAATGTGAATGTACTACAACAAAAATATTTTGTCTCTAAAATCAATGAATAATCATGATAATAATCATGATCTCTATATTGATCAAAATAATTGTGCAGCTCTACATGGTAATCATTATAACTAGTTAACATTATCAGGTTAGCATTGTTTTAATTAGCAAGTTAGCATGCTCATGTTAGCATTTAGCTCAAAGCGCCACTTTGCGAAACTATAGCCTTGCATAACTGATAGCCTGGTTATAGACTATAATACAATAATTTAAAGTGTCACTTGTCACTTTTGAAAGTCATTAAAAACAATTAATAAGTACTTTAAAAGTTAGGAGCTAGAAGCAGGTTAGCATTTTTTCTTCACAGTGGTAATGCAGCGGTGAGATAAAGAAACTGAGGTGACACCTGTTCTTTTTGTGAGATGATGGAGACACTGTGCAGTCCTTGGCTCACAGTTTTAAAATTCAGCGTAAGAAAATTATTTTAAATCAGCAGAATGGGGCATATATGTGTTTGTGTGACTTCAGTGTATTGTAGGGGGTAAAAGATCAGGAGTTGGATTTCAGCTGACAGAGCGTAACTTGCATTTCCCCTGACACCACAGCAAAGGGATAAAAGATATGTGCGTGTATGCCACCAATACAATACATTTGATACACTTATGTAAGTGTTTTGATGTGATGTGTGTACAGTATGGACATTAGTGTCTGTGTGCGTATGATGTGAGAGATCAGAGCCTTCCTGCTGGTCAGCTGCTCGGCCCATAGACTTTTGATCCAGCGGCTGGTAAAGGGACGACGAGTCAGTCAGCTTGCTGTACTCTCTCTCTCTCCCCCTCTCCGGAAATGAGAGTCATTACTGCTTGTTCTTTCTGTCTTTCCCGACTTTAAGAAACCCTGCGTAACAACTGTTTCCCTGCAAATCCTGAATTTCATTATGAACTTATGACTCATACAGACAATGACGTTTTTTTTCAGCAGATAGACAGACTGACTCCAGATGGTGTCACTGGACTTTTTTTGAATGAACAATGTGATACTTCCCAAACAACAGGACACAGTCTAGTGGGTGACTCCTTGTTGTGTTAAATGTGTCATCGGTGGCACTATTTAACCTCTCGCTCCATGTGTGACCAGCTCCAGTGCAAAATGCAAACAAGCAATGTTGAGCTGATTAAAAAAATAATAATGGAACAACTGCAGCACTGCTCTCTATGGGAAGAAACTAACTCCGATATATTCCTGTTGGCGCTGGTACTGTGGGGTGGATAAGTGGTGAACTGTATCTCATGCCAGGAGTATTGTTACGTGTTTGTGACAGTTAAAAAGTGACTGTCTTGCCAAAAAAAAAAAAACTCCTTTTGCACCATCAAGCAGTTCAGTATCTTCACCACATGCACTGCCCCTTTGCGCCATCATTTAGTGTCAAGGTTAAGTACTCTTATTTCTAAGGAAGGACTATAAAAGATGTCAACCTTGGCTGCAAATGGATAGTGGGTATTTTTAAATTAAACCCTGTGTATCACTTTTTGTTGCAGGATGGAGTCCACAGAGAAATGTGAAGTAGTGATACAGCATTTCAATGGAAAATACCTGAAAACCCCGCCAGGCATTCCAGGTGAGTCTCTCCCCTCCTTCGCTTTACATTGTTCTCGCACTCCTATCACTCCTCTCCTTTCTTTCTTGGAAAATCATCACCTCTGCGATGAGAAATCTCCTTTCTAATTCAATTATGGTAATTTCTCATCTCAGATCTGCCGGACAGCTTGATAGATTGTGTACACCCTCGTTTCTGACACCTGAAGCTAGCTGTCGTGGCTATGGCTGAATAGCTGACGGTTCTATAGGTCGCTTCTTCTCGCTCTCGCTCTCTCTCTGTCTTTCTGTCACCATCTCTTTCCCCTCCCTGGTGGTGCTGCTGCTGCTGCAGGCTCGAACTTCTCGGGCAGGAGAAAACCCTTTTAATATTCACACTCATGCCTCTGTGCTGTTCTTTGCAATCTACTTAAGAGCTTGCACTCTCCCCTCTTTCCTCTCCTGCTCCTGCTCTCTGTTGCTGTGTCCTCTCTCCTTCCTATCTTTCTCTTCTGCAGTCACCCTAGACAGTGGAACAAGCTGGCCAAGGAGAAAACAGGCAGGGGGAAAAGAGGGTGAAAGAATGTCACAAATTGGAGACAGATGTGGAGACAAGGCTGTGCCACATTGTGTGTTAGCAGAGAAATGTGTCTTTTTTTATTCGGGGCCCAAAGTGGCATCACTGTCCCCAAAAGTTTAAAACAAAAGGAGACATTGGAAATGTTGGAAACAAGAGCGAGTCTCTAAGGGAGCAAGGGTGACAAGAGGTGTTAGCAAAAAGAAAAGCAAGGTGGAAGGAGAGCAAAGATATGAAAGAAAGAGTCAGAGGGAAAGGCCGGGATGAGGAAAAAACATGCTGCCTAAGCACTTTTGAGGCCAGGTGCTGCAGCGCACGAAGCCTCCCATGCGTCCCAGCAGGACGTTGGGGCCAGACAGGGCGATACCGAGGAGATCTCCTTCACCCCTGTGGCAATTTTATTAACAATACTCACACCTCCAACCAGCGGCACAGAAACAGACCCATAAATCGCCCTCCACTATACAGTAATATCGCAGAGAGACTGGATTTAGAATCTCCATATATGCTCAGCCACTGCATAGCCAGCGGCCATTAAAGGCAAGGTGAGTGGTTATATTGAAGTTGAGCCGTAATAGGAAACCTTTAAAGCTGTAATATCAGGCTGACCTTCCCCTTTAAGGGTCTATCTCCCGGCCGCTCAGGCTTTATTATTGTTAATGGATTGTTCAGGCTTGTGCCAAGCATGGAGATTTACTGCCCTGATCGAGGAAATCCTTCTGTGGAATTAAGAATAGTTAGGTTTACAAGGTCTGCTCTGGTCTGGTGCTACTATGCCTCTAAAGGGGTCCATGAAATCTCCCTTCATGTGTGCCTGAATGTACACACAGGATGGGTTGTGGCAAGAGTTATTATTTATCCTTGTGTTGTTGTCATTTGTAATTTGAGGTAATTCATAATTAATCCCTCAGTTTCTTACGACTTGGGTCTTATTTTTGTAATTTTGGCCAACATTTCTATCATATATGTTGACATTGTACCAGGCCTGGAATTTCATACTTTCAGGGCCACTTGGCCTTTGGTGTTACCAGTTTTTGTGGGCACAAAGTCCAAATGCAAGTGCAGCATGGCCATCAAATTTAAAAAAAAATGATTTTTAGTCCACAAAAATATGAATTATACTTAAAAGTATACTATGTAGGATTGTCGGATACCATTTGTATACCAGTCATCGGCGAAAGTGAAAGTAAAAGCCAACCCCAGATCTACTCGTGTTTGGCATTTTGCCTCGCTGTCTCTGCGTTTTTTGAGCTCTGTGTCTCTTGGATGCCTGCTGTTTATGGTCTGGCACCTGGTGTCTACCTTTTTATAAAGCCTCGACTTCACCTGGGCGCTGTGGGGGTTCACACCCATTAACATCCCAAATACAAAACATAAGAAGAAAATAAGAAAATACAGGCAAAGGGCAGAGTCCCTGCAGAAAAATACACCACCACACACTTCTTGTGGGTCATAAGTGATGACTGAGAGGGATTGCTTCTGCGTTTTTTATGTTACATTGTTTTTTAGGAAAATCCTGCATCTTTAAGGGTTAGGGATGATTTTGTTTTTAATACATACCAGCCATAACTATCAGTGAAATAAATCAGTTTAAATAAGCAATATATTTAACAAAGTGAGTTATTGGTGTTTACACTTTATCAGTATCTCCTTTGCAGTCTCCTCCTGTCATCACTGTGTCTCTGTGTCATCTCTGGATTTTAATGGTTTGATTCAGACTCCAGTTTGGCTGCTGCTAGATTTGTGTAAAACTATCATCATAAATCACCAGTGGAAATCGAACCCACCACTGATTATGTGTGTAGCATTTCCCTTAATGTCGTTCAATAAGAATTCAGAATCTAAACAAAGGACACTGGTGTCAAAAAACATATTGACAGGAAAGAGGCAGAGGGAAAAAATAAGTTAAATCAGCTGGGTTAGTGCAGGCAGGGCATCAAGGCCACTGTGCTGTGAGGCATATAATATTTTTAGGGGCATGGGGCCAAACTGAGGGGGCCTGGCAGCCATGGCCTTCATGGTCCCCATGAAATTCCTGCCCTACTCTGTACTGACCAAGAAATTTATTCCCGAAATTTGGAAACCTGACTTTGGAAACAAGGTTTTTCTGACTGCCTCTGTTTCTTGTCCTGCCTGGTTTCTTTTATGCAAAGATACCTTGTGTACAGATCTCAGAAATTAACTTGTGGACCCCAGTGTTGGTATTACTGTGAGGAATTATGTGTAACACTTATAAGGTAACACCCAGATTGTCAGAATATTGTACCCTCGTCATTTCTTTGATTCTTTTCCCACGGTTTTCCATTTATAAGAGGCTGGGGGTGGAGGATGTGTGCTGCCATGTTGGGTTGCTGTCTGCTAAATGAAGATCTCTGGACATTCCTCTGTTATCAAACTCAGATGTTCCTCTGCGGAGAACCTCAGGGCTGTTTCTGTTTCTCACACAGGCAGCGAGTAGCCCTTTGTAGATGTGTGTTTGTGTGTGTAAATACAAGTGTGCACATTATGTGCTCTCTCTACATTTGTATTTGTGTCTGTTTTCTGATTCATGCGTGCATATTCAAATTTATGAGTTTTAAAAGCAGGAACACACACGTACTGTATTTGTGTGCTGACAAAGTTGATGTGTGTGTGTGTGTGTGTGTGTGTGTGTGTGTGTGTATGTCATGTTGGTGGTATTTCCCCAGAGTCCCTTGCTATGCAGGGCAGCTTCTTCATCCATCCTGCTTTGACAGTTCAGCGGCACCCCCCGGGGGCCCCTCGCCACACACAGCACAGCAGGAGCGCGTGTGCGCACGTGCATGTGCATACTTGTGTGACAGCCATGACTACTACACTGTATGAGCCTTGACACACACACACACACACACACACACACACACACAAACCACATAAACACAAATATAGTCATGCACCACTAACGTTGACCTGAATGGAATGTCAACATCCATATAATGCTAATGAAATCCCTTTTTTCCACCATTTAGCATTTGAAACATAACCCACAAACACACGCAAAGTTGCTGCGGTAGCACACACATGTACACACGTACATGCCTACACACATGCACCCCTCAGCATGCAGGCATGCACGTACGCATACACATGCTCTTCTCAATGCACCAAGCTTGCTCACCAGTCCTCTCAAGCCTATATCTGACAAGCCTCTGCATTTCCAGCTTAGCCACTCAATCACACTGTGTCAAGAGGTGTGTGTGTGTGTGTGTGTGTGTGTGTGTGTGTGTGTGTGTGTGTGTAATGTTGGCTGGTCTTGTTATAGCTACCCTCTTCTACTCAGGTGTGTCCAGTGGCAATACAAAAGGATATTGAGTTGTAACCTCGCTGTCCCATACCAGGAAGTAAATATCTGGGTGTCAGGTGCCAGGTCATCTGTTAAATTCAACTGACCGTGGGAAAATAAACAGAAAGGAAGTCACCATATTGGCAGGAAGTTTAACATCGAGTTGCAGATAACGCAGCAACACGGAGAGCAGGAACATACAGAGCAGAGGATCGTGGAGATGCTAGCAGATGGCAGTTAATGGCGCCATAGACAGATTCCATACACTTCCTGTTTAAATTTTAATGTAATAACATCTAACTTCCTTGTGATTACATGAGATGTTGAGTTGATAGACAGTGTGGGGTGGATGATGGCAGATGGCAGCTAATGATACTTAGACAGCGTCCCTATTCTTACTGTTAAGATTTAATGAAATCATGTCTAATTTTCTTGTGGTTACAGTACATGTGTTATTCAGATGCAATACATGGTTTAATAATGTTACACGCAGTCTGCACGCACAGAATGTGAGGTGGTATATTAATACCTGTAGTGATCAAACATCTTTTATAACTAACACAAGTAATTAGTGCAATAAACATGATGTATAGATTCTGTATAGGCTATAAAACATTGTAAAAAGGCAGTGTTGGTCAGGAACTTACTTAAATACTTGTCCGTGTATTTCATCAAGTTCTACAGAAACAAGTACAACATCACTCATATATAGATGCATCTAATCAGCTATCCAGGTCAGGTTTGTTTGCCGAGGCCTGGTTGATATGAGAGGTGCGTAGCTTTCGTCCAACAAGCCAGTCACCGAGGCCCTCTCCAGCCTCTCCGCTCTGCCCACGTCTGATTGTGATTCAGAGAGAGGGACATGATCGATAGCCCTGATGGAGCACTACAGCTGTTTAGCTATTCTGTGCAATGCGGCAGCCGCTCTCCCTGTCACTGTTGCCGGCTGTGAGTGTGCATACGCTCGCACACAGATACAAAGTCATTCACATACTCCGGATAACGTACATGTGTGCCAGAGTACACATAGGTGTGTGTATGTGTTCTCCCGACATAGACGTATACGTGTACTATCTAAACACACACGCAGATAGATGGAGTTAACACTCATGTAGGAGCAATAAACTCCTCTCTGAGAAATTATCAACTTTGTAGTTGGAGGTGA